AAACGAGGAGCCGCCGCGTAGGGCGGGGAAATGCTTCACAGCAATAAACGCAGGGCCTCCGGCCTCATCCAGCGGGTGGGACCAGGGGCCGGGACGCCGTCGCCGCCGCTGCCTCCCGCTCACAGGGTTTAACAGCCTCCCTCATCCCCTCGTGGCAAATTCCCAGCCCCAGCTGTGACTGCTTTGCCCAAAATCTTCAAAATTAACACAATTAAAGGTGCATTTTTTCCAATCAAAAGGGCGGAAGTGGAGCCTAAAAACCTCATCCTTAAAGAATAAATAAAACAAGTTTCCTCCCTCATTTTCCTGCCCGCACCTGGGGGGGGGGCTGTACATTTGGTCTGGAAAGGCTTTTCGGTTGACTATTCCCCCTGCCCGCGATCATAGAAAAGTAGGGTTGGAAGGGCTCATCTAGCCCAGCGTTTCTCAGTCTGAGTCATGAACCAAAAGTGGGTTGCTAGTGATAGGGTCAGGAACAAACTTTAAAAATGGATCAGCAAACTTTTAAAAAATGGATCCTCCTTTAAAGGAGAAAGACGTGGGAAACCGTGGCTTTTCCCTTTATAGGCTGGCAGAGTTCCAGCTTGCGAGGGGCTGCTTGGGGCTCCCCCTGCCCTGCGCATGGGGGCTGGGGCCTAGGGACATGGGACAGCGGGTCAGGAGTGAGGAACACTGGGCCAGTCCTGGCCATCAATGTTTATGAATGGGCCTTGGTACAAAAAAGGTTGAGAACCAGTGGTGTAGTACAACCCCCTGCTCAAAGCAGGACCATCCCCAACTAGATGATTCCAGCCAAGGCTTTGTCTAGCCAGACCTTAAAAACCTCCAAGGATGGAGATTCCACAACCTCTCTGGGTAACCTGTTCCAGTGCTTCATCAGCCTCCTGATGAGAGAGATTTTCCTAATATCCAACCTAAACTTCCCTTGCTGCAACTTGAGGCCATTGCTCCTCGTTCTGTCATCTGTCACCATGGAGAACAGTCCAGCTCCATCCTCTTTGGAACCACCCTGCAGGTAGTTGAAGGATGCTGTCAAATCCCCCCTCAGTCTTCTCTTCTGTAGACTAAATACTACAGCCTCTCCTCAGAACTCGTGCGCCCCAGGCCCTGAACCATTTCCATTGCCCTCTACTGGACTCTCTCCAACTTATTCATATCCTTGCTGTAGTGGGTGACCCAAAACTGGACACAGTACTCCAGATGTGGCCTCACCAGTGCAGAATAGAAGGGAATAATTACTTCGTTCAATCTGCTAGCAACCCTCCTGCTAACACAGCCCAGTATGCTGTTAGCTTTCTTGGTAACAAGGGTGCACTGCTAGCTTTTATTCAGCTTATTGTCCACTGTAACCCCCAGGTGCTTTTCTGTAGAGCTGCCAAGACCATGAGCCCCCAGCCTGTATTGGTGCATGGGATTGTTCTATCCTAAATTTAGGACTTTGCACTTGTCCTTGTTGAACATCATGAGATTTCCTTTGGCCCAATCCAGTTTGTCTAGGTCTCTCTGAATCCTAGCCCTACCCTCCAGTGTATCTACTACACCCCCCAACTTGGTGTCATCTGCAAACTTGCTGAGGATGCACTCTATGCCATCTTCCAGGTCATTAATTAAAATATTGTACAAAACTGGCCCCAGGACCAACCCCTGGGGCACTCCACTTGATACTGGCTGCCAGCTAGACATTGAGCCATTGACTACTGACTGTTGAAGCTGACAATCCAGTCAGCTTTCTATCCACCTTTCAGTCTATTGATCCAACTCAATTCCTTACCTTGTTTGCAAGAATGCTGTGGGAGACCATATCAGAAGGCTTGGTGAAGTCCCACTAGGGGGGCAGCAATAGAGTTTTTGGGAGCCAATACCAATAGCCAATTTTTAAGGAGGCATATCAGCTGATACCAATCCAATTTCCGATACAGCTGTGTCCAGCTGATAAGTCTGTTGTGAGGGAAGGGGTGGGAGCAGATTCATGCCCGCTGCCTTGTGGGAAGGAGTGGGACAGGGGCAGGTGCTGCCCAGCGCCTTGAAGTCGCAACTTGTCCAGTGGGCGGGAGTGGCGGGGTGGCTCCTGATGCTGTCCGCACCCCAGGATGGTGGGGCGGTGCCTGTGCCCCTGGATCTGCGCAGGGCGTGGCAGGCTGGGGCTGGGGTGTATCAGGCTCTTTCTGGTGGGGGGTGGGCTGGGCTGGGCTACGTGTGGGCTGGGGGATGGCTGCACTGGGAGGGAAGCTATGGGGGGATGCAGCCACCCCAGATTTCTGCCCCACCCTGCCTCATGCAGATCTTGGGGCACACGACTTCCCTGCCTCATGGCCTCCCAGGGTGCATGCAGCGGTGGGAGCCACTCCCCCTCCCCGCACACCCCGGATGAGCCATGGCTTCGTCCCGCTCTGTGTCCCGCCCCAGCTGGGCAGCACCTACCCCAACCCCTGCCCCACTCCCTCCCTCACCATGGGGGGCATTGATCTGCCCCCCTACACCCCTTCCACCACAACAGACTTACCAGCTGCATACAGGTCTCCACACTGCTGGGCTGTGCTCCTCGCTGCCTGCATGGTCCGCTGTCATGCACACACATGGACATTTATCAGCCAAATTATTGATCATATCAGGCCAATTTCCAATATAGTCAGTTTTCTTTATATCAGTGCCAATCCAATATCGGAACAATGTATTGGTGCTCCTCTAATATCCATCTCTTTTTCCCTGCATCCATAGAGCCAGTTATCACAGAGGGGAGTCAAGTTAGTCAGGCATGACTTGCCCTTGGTGAATCCATGCTGACTGTTCCTAATCACCTTCTTCTCCAAGTGCTTAGAAATGGTTTCTTTGAGGACCTGGTCCATGATTTTTCTGGGGACTGAGGTGAGGCTGACTGGTTTGTAGTTTCCTGGATCCTCCTTCTCTTTCCTAAAGTTGGGCACTATATTTGCCCTTTTCCAATCATCGGGGCCCTCCTCTGATTGCTATGAGTTTTCAAAGATAATGATCAGTGGCTCTGCAGTCACATCAGCCAACTCCCTCAGCATTCAGCCCCATGGGTTTATACATGTCTAGCTTTTCTAAATAGTCCCTAACCTGTTCTTTCACTGCTGAGGGCTGCTCACCTCCCCAAACTGTGCTGCTTTTGCCTGTGAAGACTGAAGTAAAAAAGGCATTGTGTACTTCAGCCTTTTCCTCCTCATCTGTCACTAGGTTGTCTCCCCCATATAGTAAGGGACCCACACTTTTCCTGACTTTCCTCTTGTTAATGTGCTTGTAGGAACCATTCTTGTTACCCTTCATGTTCCTTAGTAGCTGCAACTCCAATTGCACTTTGACCTTCCTGACTTCATCCCTGCATGCCCAAGCAGTATTCTTACACTCCTCCCAAGTTTTGTCCAAGTTTCCACTTCTTGTAAGCTTCCTTTTTGTGTTTAAGGTCACTGAAGAGTTGTGTGCCAAGCCAAGCTGATTGCTTGCCACATTTGCTGTTCTTCCTGAACTTCAGGATGGTTTGTTCCTGCGCCCTCAATAAGGTTTCTTTAAAGTACAGCCAGCTCTTCTAGACTCCTTTTCCCCCCAGCCTGGCCTCCCAGGGGATGCTGCCCATGAGTTCCCTGGGGGAGTCAAAGATCCTGTTCCCATTTTTCATTTTCCTCAGCTGGTCAGTTTATCTCTCTTGACTTCATGTTTAGCATGTTAGGACAGGAGGGGAAACATTAATTTAAGAATGCAAAGCAGATTCTAATGGAATAAACAAAAAGTATCACTGACTTATTTTTGTAACACCTACATCATAGAATAGAATCATATAGTTAGAAGGGACCACAGCAATCATCTAGTTCAGCCCCCTCTGCAGATACAGGGTGTGTTATTAACTAATCCATCTCAGCCTTATGTCTATCCACCTCTTCTTAAAAGCTTTCAGCAAAGGAGATTTCACAACTTCTGTAGGTATTTGTACCATTGTCCTGTTCTTAGAATCAGGAGAATTGATCTAAATCCACCTTGCATTTTAAACCCAGTGTCACATGCCCTGCCCTCTGTGGTAGAGAACAGTTGTTCTCCCTGTTCATTATGGCAGCCTTTTCAGATGTTTGAAAACTACTGTTGGGTCCCTCCCTCTCTCTCCTCCCTTCCCCCACCTTCTTAATCTCCTTTCTCCAAGCTAAATATACTTAGTTCTCTCTCCCTTTCCCTACATGGCTTGCATCCCAGCCTCTTTATCACCTTGTCACTTACCTTTGGAGCCTCTTCAGTTTTTCTGCATCATTCTTCAAGGCAGTATCCAAAACTGGATGTAGTACTTCTTCTGAGGGCTGACCAGTGCAACAGTGTTGTTATCCCTTCCTGTGTCTTGCATTTGCTTTTTGTTGTCTCTAGTGTATTTCTCTAATTTATCAAGATCCTTTTGGATTCCAATTGTATGGTCCAGAGCTTGCAGCCTCTCCCAGGTTTGTGCTGTCTCCAGACATGATCTGGAAGTGAGCTTTTTCTGAATCCAAGTCAATAATAAACTGATTAAATAGTACCAGATCCAGGACTCAGCCCTGTGGGATTCCAGTTGAGAGCGCCTGCCATTCTGATGTTGAGCCATTAATAGCTACTCTTTCCAGTTGTTTGAGTAAGTATGTTCCCATGCAATGAGTATTCTGTCTACCCACATTTTTCCATTTTGCTTATGAGGCTGTAGTGTGGGTCCTTGACAAAGGCCTTTCTAAAGCCTGGGTAAGCGTTGTCCACTGTATTTCTTTCATCAACCAAGCAGTTATCCAGTCAAATTAGGAAATCGAGACAGTTTAGCATAGTCAGCCTTTCCTCCTCCAGATGTTTACAAGTGGATCATTTTATACTTTGTTCTAGTAACTCCCAAGCATTGAAGTCACACTGACTGATCCTTTATTTCCCCAGATTATCTCTCCCCCTTTTTAAAGATGGGCACGTTTACACATGCTCCAGAGCTGTGCAGGGTGGGGGGCCTTAATTAGAGTGTTCTAATTAAACCACATCTGCATCTCGTGTTTCAGTGTTCCTGTGCTTAAAAATGGCAGCAGGGGCGCTTGAACTAAAGCTTGTTCGATGAGCTTTAGATAAAGCTTCCCTGCCATTTTTAAGTGCAGGGACACTGATGCATGAGATGCAGGAGACTGCTGGAGTGCAGTAATTGCCACACGCCAGCAGACTCAGTTAATCAAGTCTGCTCTGACACTGAAATTCCAGCGTGTTGGAGCAGACTCCGCACTCATGTATAGGTGCCCTTTATTAGTCCTTTTCCAAGCCTCTGGTTTTGCCTATCTATCATGACTTTGCAAATATTAGTACTTAGAGGTCTGAGATTCTTTAGCTTGTTCCTTTAGCAACTTGAAAGAATTTTGTCAGGCTGTGCTGACTTAGGTTCATTCAGATAGATCAACTTCTGTGCCACTTATTACTATTATCTGCAGTTCTTTCCTGCTACTGTGTATATGAGTTGTGGTTAGCTGCTTGGTTGCAGTTTCATGTTCTGTGAAGGACAAGTCAAAGTAATCACTGTGCATCTCTGCCACCTTTGCCTTTTCTAAGTTGATAGTTCTCCCTCAGCACTGAGCAGTAGACCCACAGCTTCCCCCGTCTATCTGTTGGCCTTGTGGTTGCATGTAACATCTCTGGACAGTGCTTTCTTTCCTGATTTTGTCCCTCCTTCATCCTATTATTAAATGCTGGCCATGTCCTCAGTGTCATAGAAAACGCATAGAGGCAACAACAGCTAAGATTGTCTCCTAGGCCTTCCCAGGTCAATCATTCCCTAAAGTCCCATTTTTAAAGCAGGTGTAGGTTGAAGTTTAAACAATATAAAAGACTAAAGGTAGAGTTCTGATGACTGCATAAGCTGGATTTCTAGCTGGTTACCTCCTCCCATCCTCACAGTAATAAAAGAGGGCAACGAGAGGACCATTAAACTGTAGTTTTACAGCTCAGGGTAATTCCAGCTTCAGGAAGGGCTGGTCCTTCTGTCTCAGGGCAACAAGCAGAGCCCAGCTCACCCTTAATCCACCAGAGCCCAGCCCTAATGAGCACCTGTGACTTGTTGCAGTCACTGAGCTGTGGATGTTTGGCCACTCAAAATTGCGCCCCCCCCGAATTGAAATCTTGAGGCATGTTTTTTCTGCATGTACCTTGGTGCCTGTGTGTGCAGTGCCCAGGTGTAACTGTATGTGCGCACGTGCGTGTGTGTGTGTGTGTGACTGGGACTCTGTCTGGGTGTCAGTGCTACAGAGCCTCACTCTTGTATCTTCCTCTGTGGGTAGGTGAAGAAGATGGGAGCCCTTGGGCTGCTAGCCATGGATGTGCCAGAGGAGTACAGCGGGGCAGGGCTTGATTACCTGGCCTATTCCATTGCTGTGGAGGAGATAAGCAGGGGCTGTGCCTCCACAGGGGTCATCATGAGCGTCAATAATGTAAGCCTCTCTCCTGTGCAGGAAACCCTGTGGGGTGGGGGGGTGAAACCATTGCTCTCGGCCAGAAACAAAGGTGGCATTTGAGAGGAGCAGATCTCTATGCTGATAGAGGATGGGAATGTGACTGGGCTATGCATTGCATGTGATGGTGCTGTGTTGCAGCAGTTGCATTCTTCTTCAGGGTAAATGAACACAACTTCTCTCTTCAGTCTCTGTATTTAGGTCCAATATTGAAGTTTGGCTCTGAAGAGCAGAAACTTAAGTGGATCACACCCTTCACCAGTGGAGACAAGATAGGGTGTTTTGCCCTCAGTGAACCAGGTAATGGTTGGGGCGGGGAGTAGAGTTAACATTCTTGGCCTGAAAAGTAGAGAGTGGTTTCACCCTAGACTTGCTTTAGAAAGGGGCTCTGCAGAACTTAGCAGCACCTGAAGGTGGTTCATGGGAAGGCAGTGGAGTTAATTTTATCACCACCCTATTCCCAGTTTTTAACACCCACTGGGTATTTGGTTGTGTTGCTTCTAACTGCTTGAGTGAACAGGAATTCTTGGCTTTGTTTTGCCTGGTGCCTTGCTTAGGAAATGGCAGCGATGCAGGAGCTGCTTCCACAGTGGCATCACTGGATGGTGATGAGTGGATCCTGAATGGCACCAAAGCTTGGATCACCAATGCCTGGGATGCCTCTGCTGTTGTCGTATTTGCTACTACAGACAAATCCCAGAAACACAAGGTGAGCCCAGTTGATTATAGTGCTATATACGGCCCTGAGCATGTGGTATCTTAATTAACTTTGCCAGCCATATAGAGGGAACCCACAACATGTAGTGGAGGAGTGGCAGGTACCTGGTAAAAGGTTCTATGCCTTACCTTGGAGATGGGGTCTAGAGAAAGAGAAGGAAAAAGCAGGGCTCAGCAGTGTTTTGGGGCAGATTGCCAAAAACACCCACAACCTCAATTTGTAAGATGTTGGCATGCCAGGGGCAGACAGCAGGGGAGCCATGAGTGGCACAATCCTTATTATGGCAACATAGCCCCAACCTCTTTCCTGCCACCTGCCCTGAGGCACAGATGCTGAGCAAAATGCTTTCATGTGCCACGCTCTAGGACCTGTGCCAGGGGTTGCCTATCCCTGGTATATAGTATTTGAATAGTCTTTCCCATGGATTTCTGAGCTTGTATCTCAGGGAGCCTGGAGCAGAGCAGATGGTACTGCAGGGGGTACCACTGTTCTCCTTTGCATACTAACCGCCCTTGTGATCAGTGGTGACTTTTTTTCCATCCCACTCCCTTCCTGTGGCCACTCAAGTGAGCTAGGATTAAGCCTGCACTTCCTGGAAGAACTGTCCCCCGCACAATGGGAGATGTGCAGTAATATTACCAGCCTGGGTCTTGTTGCAGGGCATCAGTGCCTTCCTGGTTCCCATGCCAACCCCTGGGCTCTCACTGGGGAAGAAAGAAGACAAGCTGGGAATCCGAGCCTCCTCCACCGCCAATCTGATATTTGAGGACTGTCGGATCCCCAAGGCCAATCTACTGGGGCAGCTGGGGATGGGCTTCAAAATCGCCATGGTAAGAGACAGCTGTGCTTCTGAGCATGTGGTGCAGACAAGGGACTGCAGCCCTATACAGTGCTCTCAAGTCAGACCTCTTCTGGTCAGGCTAGGGCCACTAGCAGTAGGTCTCGTCTTTTCAAGTCTACCTGGCAACTCCCAGGAGAAGAAAAGCAGAGGCGAGGAGCATTGAGGGGGTGAGGAGCAGACAGGGGTAGGTTCATTACAGGAGACCCACTCTTCCTCCACCTCTCAAATTTCATACTGTCTAAAGATCTGTCTGCAGGGCAACACAAAACTTTTCACTGCCTCTCAAGATCCCTTGGTAGGGATAAGGCAGGAGTCTGTGCTTCTGGATGCAGAGGTCTCAGGCTTGATTCCAAGACATGGATAAAATTCAAAGGGGGGAAGTTTGAAACATAGAGGTCTCAGTGGCACATAGGGGACAGCAGATTTTCTGCAGTGAAACAGGACACTTGAGAGAGTGAGCATCTCTCCCAGCAGGATTAGAACAAGATTGTGTCTTACAACACAAGTGTATGCCACAACTACTTTTCCAGTGCATCTTTTGCACTTGAGGCCTGTGCAGGCTTCCTGCCAGAAGACTGGGTTAAAAGGCCCCTTCTTGAAAAAAAGGCCTTTTATGAGGAAAGCGGTAGCACTTTTCTGTGTTGCAAACTGCTGCCTTTTTTAATTAAATTCTGCCTGGCTGAGCAAGGAGGGAGGCAACACTGATGCTAAGTGCACTGCTGGAATTGCTCCAAGATGTAATCAGTGCTTTGAGAGCAGAGGGTGAAAAAGTGTCAGAACTCTCCCGAGATGTGCAGCAACCTTGACACTCACTAACCAGACCCTTAACTATTTACTCCTCATCAGTGGATGCAAAGGAAAGGAGAGCTTGTGTCCCTGAGAACAAATGAGTGCTCTACCTGCTCAGACCCACTGACCCAGGGGGTGTCTCCTGGTTTATGAGTGTTCCATCTGAAGATGTGACCAGTTGTGTTTTTCCAGAGTTGGGCACTTGGCAAATTAAAATCAGGTCCCTTTAAAATGTGTCAGATTGGATGTGCCCACGTCATTTGTCATTTTTGAAATGTGGCCAGAGACATGGAGCTTGCTGGGAAAGGAGTGAGACTTCACACACCTAGGTGCGTGCTGGAAGCAGGAGCAGCCATGCAGGGCTGGGGGCTGGTTTCACTTTTCTTGTCCTCCCACTCCCCATATGCTCTTAGTTTCCCCTTTACTTCCACCCCTCTGCAAAGCAGCAAGATCTCTGCTAGATTATTTTCTCTCCATGTTTCCTTCCCTCCTGTCCTGCCAATATCTGCTGGAGGTGCTAGATATTGCAGCATTCTGTTCTTTCACACACTGGGATTGTTCTAGAGAAGGAAAGGATGGGATGGGGCTTCCATGGGACAGCAGATTTCTGGCTCCCT